AGGCCCTTTTAGTGATGGAACAGCTACAATTTTTGTGCTTCAGTTATCACCCTGCAGCGTCTCACATCTTCCCTTCCTCTCAAATGGCCACATTTCCTTGCTAAACCACCAAAAGCACAACATTTACTTCTCTAGCACAGGTATCTTTATGCTTTTCTGTTCACCTATAGGTTCAGTTCACATGTCCACACTGGCTAGAGGATGTTCCTTAATTACAGTAGTCTTGCTCTTAAGACATTAATTTCCTTTTGCTTTTTTATGTTTGCTTGTTTGCTTGCTTGCTTTGCTGTTTGTTTATGTTAGTATCACAGTTTTGGGCTTTCAAACACTCCAGAACAAAGGAATGCTTTAGTTGGCCAAGCCTTACTCACTTGCCTGTCCCTTTTCACAGCCTACAGGTAACATACAGATCCAAGATTTAGGCTCTAGACATCTAGCTCTCCTGACTCAAATACACACAGGACTGACTCCCTATCATTCGAATGTCCAGTACTCACTCCAGACATGTGGCAACACTGTGCCTGCTTATCAGCATCTAAGTCCTATTCTCATCATCTGCAAAGGCTTTTGTCTGAGCAAAACTGGACTGTAGCAAATGTAATCATAGAAGCATATACATTTTTTTGTGATTTTTATTTACTCTGATTTTAAACTCCACAAGCTTCTTCTTTGTAGGTAGGTCTTGAAACATCATCGTTGCTTTCCAAAGGATTCATTTAGCTTGTTGCAAGAATCTCCACATTTTCAGTGTTCAAGGTTCTACACACAAGGAGCTACATGTATTGAATATAAGTTTCATCAGATAGTGAAACTATATGGCTGTGACAAATCGTTTCTCCAGAGTTAAAGCTATCTTAGCTCTCTGATGACAAGTCTATAGAGATTGAACATCATTTGAACAGACATTTCGAACTCAGAGCGACATGGTGCAGAGGTCTAACAACTGCGGCCTTCTTCCTCAAGGTCCTTTTTGATCTTTCAAAATCTGTTTGCCTTACCCTGAGAACACTGAGAATAGGCCAGCTGGCCCAGCCCTGCTAAAAGTCTCCACTCCTCCATGTCAACAGTGATTCAGTCCTAGTCCTAAGCCCTGCAACCTGACATCTGCAGCCAAATTTGTTGACTTAGCTTACAGTATTTACCTCCCAATCCATTAGCTAAGTTTCCTCTGAAGTAATGAATGTTTATTGTCATGCCACCATCCACCTCTCCAGATTGATCCCAAATATTTTGGCTTGCAGTGTTCTGATTTTGCAGTATACAGGGACAAGGGGCATGGGGTCTTTCTTTATTTTTTCTTTCTTTTTTTTCCTTTTTTTTTGCAGGAAGCTATGGGCAGCCTTGTTCATACTATGTGAACTCAAAGTTTACATCAATTTCTTTAAGATATACCAACAACAACTACAGTACCCAATGATAAGAGTTGATACAGATTAATAGGCATTTCTGCCCTGTTTGAAGCCAACATTAGGATTTAACAACACAGCTTTAAGTGATTTGAGATCATTTGGACAGGGAAAGAAAACCATTACCATCTGTAGTGTAATTAGTTCCACTGCTATATCTGATGCACAGTATGTACAGTACGGTACACCCTTCCTCAGTCTATTTGGCATAAGCTGCCAAGAGTATTTTGGATTCTTCGGACCCCAGTAATTTAGTCTTGCCAATGCTCTCATCTGTAAAACTTGTAGTAGGAGTGTTAGCTAATTACAAGAATGTGAAGAATTTCACAAAAATCTAAGAAAAGTCCATTATTTTCCAAGTGGTTTGCTTGGATTTCTATAGTCCTGGAGCCATATTTCTTTAGAACACGTACACTGACTGAAACAGATCTTTACTTCACATCAGACCAGGAGAGGGGCAGCTACCAGCAAGTGCAGCTGCATTCACTTTTATCCAGAGTCAAATGCATTCATAAGTGATTATTAAACTTCACAACTTCCTTAAACCATGTATTTATTTTGAATAGCAGAACCTAGTGTACACGATTACTTTCTCCAGAGTAAAGCAGCTAATGACAATTTTCACCTAGTAGAAGATCAGTAACAAAGAGTGTAATTAAGTTTTGGCAGTGGACTGTGCCACCTTATACAGCCAGCAGGTACAGGATTTGAAAGTGAATTTGTTATCATTGGGCAGTGTGCTCTCTACCACCTAGAAATCCAGAGTTTTGATACAGATTTTGGATGCGCTGCAAAGCTAAGGCTTCCAGCACACAGAGATGGGAAGAGACCCAAACAATTTCTCTTTCAATCTGCAGATGGGAGACTGGTTTGAAGTACGGCTTTGACAGGGAACAGTGAGGGCAGAGCCTCACGTGTGCTATGGACACAAAGGCACTTCAGCTGCCTCCTGAATGGGCAGATCATTCAGGAGCTTTGGGGGTGACTCAGTTTTCCATCCTACTGCATTTGTTGCATTTGAGCAGAGAAACTAAAAATAAAAAGGACTAAATCTGCAATAAATGGCAACAAATTTAACACATGTTGTGGTGGAGAAGGAATATGATAATTTGCAATGGCATCCTTTAAATTCTGTTTCGAGGCTTCCATAATTATTCTGAGTTTGTCCATGGTCTCCATGGCAGCCTTTTCTGTAGGCTGGCGTGGTGACTCATGGCAGTTCAGTGAGGAACTCCTTCCCAAAGGAGCCTGAGTCATAGACTGCCAGACCTGCACTGGTTTCCTGTCATACAGAGGTTCCTGAGCTATGATGGAGACAAACCACACGTGACACACAAGCGACCTCAGTGTGGTGCTCCCAGACAGCTGGATGTGGCTGCAGGGTGAGCAGGAGATGCTGCTGCTGCTGCCACTAGCAATGATGGTATCTAAACAAAAACGTTTGGAAACTTTTAAGTCATTGGGTTCACATTCTGACCTTCAATTCCTCAGAAGGACAAAAACAGTTTTCCACAGCACAGCAGTAAAAGAGCTGAATTTGCCCCAGGATGGCTTCCTGACCTCATTAGTGGTATAGTTGTGGGCATGGCACTATAGCAGCTGCCCAGTCACCTTTGCCATAAAAGAAATCTCTCAGCACGGCCACCCCAAGCACCCTCAGTGTGGTAGGATGAATAGTAGCTCATATGGTGTAGGGGAACTAGTAGGTCACAGCTCGAACTGATGATGGAGCACATGTTGAAGGAGTGGCTGACCCAGGGAGCACAGGCAAATTGTTTGCACCTGTGTTCCCCACCTGACCAGAAGGGGTGGACCCAGAGCTGCCCTCTGCTCTTATAAGAATCAACCATGGAAAGGAGACTATGGTTTGGACTGAGGCTACTTCTAAGGAGGGGGTGCTGCATAGTTAGAGAGCCCTTTCACCAGGTGGGTAAGGTCCATTTTTCTTTCTGTCATGCCTATCAGCCTGCTTATGAATACTTTGCCTGGTATTGCTAAGAATGCATCAGAAACGATTTTGCTTCTTTGTGAGCAGAGTATACCGGCAACAGGCATTTTTAATCTTGAGGTTTGTTATAGAGCTTGGAAGAAGGGAGGCCAGAAAAGGCTACTTTCATCCCAGTTGCAAGCCCTAATCAAAATGTCACTGATTTAGGCTTTTTTTGCTCTTCTTTTTTGTCTCCTGGCTTTCATTTTCCAGAAAAATGAGAAGTGTGCTCCTATGCAGCAGAAGGGTAGCTCCTTCTACCCTGGTTTATAACTGTGTATTTTAAAGGATGATCTTGTACTTCAACTCTCATAAGACTAAGGATGGTCAGAAAGTCAGGCCACCCACTCTCAGAACAAGGCCAAGCAGGCCTGGCAGGTGCTGCTACCAAGCAGCTGCAGTGTGCTGTATGGGAGTAGTTCAGAGCGCAATAGATGTTCTGAGGGAATGTTTGCCAGAACAGGCCCACATCACAGCAGAGAGGTATTGCTTTTTTTTTTCTGTTAAACACAGTGGACAGCCTGAGCAAGAAATGGGTCAGGCGCTAGTCAACTGAGTTATCTCCTAGCTATGGAGGAGGAAGCAGACAGCCCTGACAGCACAGCTCCAGGTGCGTTGTATCACTGGGAAAGCCATTCTGAGTTGTACTCTTCTCTACTGCCCCACCACCCTAAAATGTCAGGCAAGTAAGTCAGAACATAAGAAAAGTGACAAGAATCTCTAGCAAGGCCACATCCCACACTCCTCTCAGCAACCACCCTTACTCAATGACCCTCAGCTTTCATAGCCTCTCACCCTCCCTTCCAAAATCTTCCCTAGGTCAAACCAACAGTTCCTTAAGGCATAACCTGCTTTATCTTCATCCAGGAGTAGGGCCACCCATGCCTCTTAACTTTACTTTGCTTTCTGAAGGTGTTAACATCTGTCATCTGCTTTCACATAATGTAAAATGTAATAATAAAATTAAGAATATTTCCTCCCTAGAGGAGGTAAAGCTATCTCCCAAACTTGCTGATTCATTGGTGTACTTCATTGTGAGTCCCTCCTGTTGAAACTCTATTCTGTGTCAATCTGAATCAAATATGACCTTGAGACTTGTATGGAACTTTTTACCAGCTCTTGCCTGGAAACAGGAATGATGGTCACTAATTATTCCAGCTTAGGCGAGTTAGGAAAAGCTTACTTTCAGCCTCTTTGTCCTAACCATACCTTAACAGTAGAATTATTCTCACTATTGCATATTTTTGTCATCTTCTCTTAATCTCCCTCTTCCATTAGAGACCAGCCAATATAGTTCTTTTTCCACAGGCAGGCTTAGCTAATACAGTACCTTTACTGGTAACTTTTATCACTTATAAAAAGAAGCTGCTAGGATAATTCACTGTCTTCCTAAAGGAGCAATTCATTGCAGTTCTTGACCATCTTTCTTAATGCTTTCAACCTCCAATAATGAATCTAACATTTCAGTTAAGAGGGAAGACATCTTCAACTTAAAAAAAATTTAAAGCACTTTCTTGATCCCAGAACAAGCAAAATAGATTGTTGTATACCTGTACTACTATTCAATTAGTCACTAGCATTTGGCATAAAAAGAGTCACAAACAGTATACATCATCTGATGTTTTTATTGATCACAGGTGCAGTGTTACAAAGATGTTATACTGAATAATGCTGTCACAGTCATGTTTTAAAGTGAGGTTGCTACAACACATTTAAATTTCACACAGTGAAACTACTTAGGAAAAAAAATCATGCTTATAACAGAAGATCAAAGAAATACATTTAGTTAAAGCAAAAAAAAAAAAAAAAAAGTCCCAGGATGTCTGCCCTCTTAAACTGAAGCTAATAGAACAGCTTTCTGTTGATTTCAGCAGGCTTTGAATCCAGCCTCCAACTTGCCCTGACCAAGCCATAAGGTAAAATACCTCGCTGATCTGTTGCAGGGTCTTCAGTCCTTTAACAGACTTGTGCGTGATGTATTTTCTTTTAAAATGAGACAGACATGATGTATAATTCACTATGCCATACTTAATACATAGCAGAGCCAATTTTGGCTCATTGGCTTCAGAGGGAGTGGGAGAATTACAAAGGTGATAGCATGGAGACTAGGAAAGGAGGGAGTTACTACACTCCTGAGTGCCTGTAGCAGCTGTTTGTGTGGTCTGAGCTTCCAGGAAAGCTCATTATTTGCTTCTGCTGGATTTGCATCTGGCAGTGTCTGCATTCAAGACAGGTAACTTATGTGAGCTGGAATTTGGATGATATAGCAAAAAGGAAACAGCTAAAACTGTGTTGAGAATGTGGCTATTTGCTGCCAGTGAGCAGCCTGTGGGCACTGACTTGTTTTTATGGGAAGTCATCACTTTACCATTCTGCCATCAATTTTTGTGTGAAATTATCTTGGAGCAAAAAAGAAAAAAAAAAAAAAAAAGGGGGGGGGGGGTGTAGACTTCAAAACCACAACAGACTAAATGATACACCAAATCTAAAAAGGCATAAATACAAGTTTAATTTGAAGCAATTTATTTCTGAGAGCTCAGGGATCTTTCTGAATTTCAGGGGGAGATGATTGCTCCTGCCCACTCTGAGGATGCATGTAAAACATGCAGAATGTGTATCAAACTCTTCTTCGGTGTTGGAGGCACTAGAGGGCAGCAACGCACCAGCATACCTTTGCTAACAGAACTCTGTTAGCCAAGTTTATTCCTTGCTGGGTACCAGTCTTACTGCTTACTTCAGTATAGGCTCTTGTATCACAATGCTGTGTTATTATGCGAGACCCAAAACTGAGTATATAACTCACGCTTCAAGGAAATATGCTGCTTTGTTGCATTTCAATGGTCAATAAAGCAGTTATTTCTTAAAACTTTTAAATATTTGCTAATTAGAATAATTACCACATTGATCACAACTTGTGCTTTATAAAACTCTCCCTCTCCAGTGCATGTAAAAGATAGTTTTGTTTTTGTCTCAGACTGCAATGATCAAATATTGACAGCATTTAATAATGGCCATTGTTATACCATATTCAAGGGTGAACAACAGGAGCTGCCACCCTGTGTTATATACATAGTCCATCAGGAGTCCCTGAGATACAAATATGGCTCCCACTTTCCTCCCCACTGCATTTTGGTCAAGAGTTCTCAATAAATGTTCCAGCTTATTTAAAAAAAAAAAATTATCAATTAAAAATCCTATTTACATATCTGTTGTAAAATGGACAAAAATTACATAGGAAAGATCAGACAGTTTCAAAAGTTGGTAAATACGTTTTTAACTGTAAAATGTCAGATACTGGCTGTTTTCTGTCTTGATAGAAGCTGAGTCCTGTAAGTAATTCTACATCTCTGATCCGAGCTATGTGAAACTTCATTCTCTCTTCAACCCACAGCGACTCAGACCTCCCATCCTAATAGGAAAGAGCAGGAAAAGAATTTGTGAAATGATCTTTTTTCTGATATAGATTTAAATCAATTAGTAAAAGATATTTTCATTTTTTTATGATGACAGACAAAGCAGTAACTGGCAGCAAACAAATAGAAAGCACTGGATTCTACAAATAATAAGCTTGTACAAATTTAGTACTTGCTGTTACTTCCTCAAGTGTACAGAACCTGCAGCTGCATCAGTGGAAGCTGGTGATAATGAGGAGCGGCAGGGGAGGTCCAACATCTATTCAGCATTTCTATGATAAAGCTACTGCTGGGAACTTTGCTTTAAGTGGGCAGTTACTTGTGTACATCCTCCCTGTAGGATAGCACTTCACATGCTTTGTTCTGGTTTATAAGGAGCATAGCTATGTATGTTCCCTCCCATCATGATGCCCAAGTACTTGAAATAGAAGCAATCAGTGCTCTTCAAGAAATTGTTTTCTCCTTTAGGGTATACACTTGATCTAACACTGGATCTCTTTTGTGGATGACTCATCCTCTCCTAGAAGTTCATCACCTTTCTCAAATGATATGACTGGATATTGCTGCTATTGAAAACTATGCGTGCATCACACTGATTCTCTCAACATACTCCTCTGATTCTACTCAGCTATCTGTAAGTCTTTGAACAGGAAACTTTCCCCATTTAAGCATATGTGCACATTTTAATGTAATTCTGTTTACAAAAATATTGTATTCCCTCTCAAGAAGATTGACAGACTGTAGAGTTTTTACAGCCTTTAATTAGCTGGTCACTGGTACTCAAGCAGAATGAGCTCAAGCCTGGCTTTATGGAGACTGAATAGACTACTTACTGCACAGCTTTCACTATTGTCTTCTCTGTGAGGTACAATGAAAGATAAGGCATCTAGAGATCCTTCACACTTCAAAGGAGTTTCAGAAGCATTTTTACAAGTAGTCAGCACAATGAAGAAATGAGTAGGAATGGGAACTTCTGAGTTACCAGGGTGTCTGAAACACAGAAGATATTCCTGTAAATCAGTAAGTTAATTCCTGTACAAAGAGCAAATAGCAGTAATCAGCTGTACTGTGGTACACTGTTTTTTAGCAACCCATGTAGTTAGTCTGAAGAAAGCTTGGATCTGGAGGTAAAATTAATCTGTAATCAAAGTTGACAGCATATTTTGGATTAATGTTTTGCATATCAAGTTCAGCTTGTAGGCCCAAAATGGTGAGGTGTGACAAAGAACTTACTTTAAAAGGTGCAAGAATTTATCACCTATCTGTTATCTTGAACCAGTTTTTCCATCTGGGAGTAACTAGTACACTTGTGCTGACAATTCAGTAATAGAACACCACCAGCTATACAGAATCATTAATATAAGCCACAATAGCATGGGTAAGCCCCTGCTTCATCCAGTTCTAGAAGCAATGTTTCAGGATGACACACTTCTAGTACATGCTTATTCTTTCTGCTTTTTGTTTGCTTCTCAGCTTTACAGCTCAATTGATTTAGGTCCATTTAACTGCTTCTCTCTGAACTGGTAAGACCTGCCAAGGATCAGTCTCAGCAAGATGCTTTCCTTGCTAACAAGGATCAAAATTACTTTGTGACTACTAATGGAGAAAAGAAGCAAAGGATTACAATGGGAAAGCAGCTCACCTTTTCACCTTTTCTGGGGTATCATAGATCCCATCAGAGTTGTAATCAAACACAGGACCACTTACTACATTGACACCACTTCTGTCTGCAGCATACTCAGGCAGCAGGGACTGATGGAAGTAGTTCCATAACACTAGAATAAAGTAATGGAAATGAGATACATCATCTCCAAGATAGGAGTTATTAATAGAACTGTGCTGTTCCCAGTAGAGTACTGATGGGCATGGTAAGCTAGGAAAATAGTATACTATACATAATATATTATCCTAGGAAAATACAGGTCTTCATAGTTTTAATCTACCTGAGCAGCAGCATGCACAGCAAAATCTCCTGGCATTCTGGTTTCATAATCACCCTAACCACAAACGTGACTGAACACAGTGATACTGCTCCCTTATGGCCTTGGGTTTCTTTCATGTAAACCAAGGTATGAAGAAGCTAAAAAGGGAAGATGAGAGAAAACCATGACTGTATCTTGCCTCATTATCAAGGTTTGAATGGCTAGCATATATGCCCACATCTCCATTTCACGAAAATTTCAATTTATATGTGCCTGAAGCCTCTTCTTACCTCTTTCATTTTAATTATCTTTAAGAGGAAATGACTGCTTTTTTTCTTTTTTTTTCCTCCAGAGGAAGTGCCATGCTTCTTTACATTAAGAATATGCTTAACCTCCCTCAGCCAACCATCTCATGCTTAATTTCACCCAGGAAAGCCCATATCTTATATTAGAAATCTATTATTTTCCCATTTTCTCAGTTTTAGAGACTCTTAATTTCTGCCTGGAAACTCATCTGACTTTGAGAGACGTTCCTAAAACAGAAATGAATTTAACTTACTGTCATATGTGGCCTTCCAGTACTTGAAGGGAGCATATAAAGAGGAAGGGGAATGGCTGTTTATGAGGGTGGGTAGTGATAGGACAAGGGGGAATGGTCTTAAACTGAGACAGGGGAGATTTAGGTTAGATATTAGGAGGAAGTTTTTCACAGAGAGGGTGGTGATGCACTGGAACAGGTTGCCCACGGAGGTTGTGGATGCCGCATCCCTGGAGGCATTCAAGGCCAGGCTGGATGTGGCTCTGGGCAGCCTGGTTGAGTGGTTGGCAGCCCTACACATAGCAGGAGGATTGAAACTAGATGATCATTGTGGTCCTTTTCAACCCAGACCGTTCTATGATGATGATTCTATGACATAACTGGCATTTGGGTTATCTAGAAGATACTGTATAAAACCTTGTTTAGGTAGGTAGGGAAATGCAAATAAAAATATCAGTCATAAAATAAAGACATATATGCCACACCAGTGTGTAATTACCAGTGTGTAATTAGCCATAAGCTAATAATGCTGGGCCTTTTTCTTAAGGATCATAAGACCTACTTCAGGAAGTTTTCACTGATGTAAGAAATTCAGGGTCTGGGAAGGTCTTATTTCACAGACACAGCTAAATTGAAATTATTTGTGGTGTTTGGAAGTAAGTAAAAAGACTGCAGCCTTCCACTCAAATACACATATAAAGAAAATACCTTTAAATGCAGGATACATTGGCACAATGTTGCTGGTGAGCAAGGCATCATAATGAGATTTCTTTGCATCTGTCATAAAATCTAAAACCAAAAAGCACAAAAATACAAGATTAAAGATCAATGCTATGATGTTAAGGTGGAGCTGACCTAAACTCACTTTTCAAAGTTGATGCGTAAATACCAACTTCAGCGTATGCTGATCAGGTCCGAAATAAAATAATCTCATCAGCAGCAACAGTAATTGCACTTGGAAGGTATATAGTGTCCACATTATTTTAGTATTTTAAAATATCCAAACAGACTTTTGAGCAGTAGGGAAGGGAATAAAATTCATTTCCTGAGGCATGAGAATAGCTTTCTTTGAGCTTTGCAAACAGCACTTTGCATGGATGTTAAAATAACCTTCACTCAATGCTTTAGCAGTAAAACCAGTGTAAAATGCTTCCAAATCAGACCAGCACCAGTTTACATGCAATATAACCTCTGTAAAAAGCTAACTATATTTTAAAATGCCTTTTTGAGAATCAGACCTGCACTCTTTACATCAAATACTGAGTCCCTTTACCAAAAGTCACGTATGCGCACAATGGTAAATTTCAAACATAAAATGAACTTAAATCAAGACATTTTTACATTTACAGACAAATGTTTCTATTTTACTTTGGGTAGCTCCAACTAATGGAGGTCATGCAAAATGAATTTGCAGTTTATTAGTTTGCCAGACTTGACTCAAGGTTTACACATTTCTTCCAGTTTCTTCTATGAGATGCCACATTAGAAACCAGACAAGTTGAAAAGCTTTCAGGAAAAACTAAATGACCTTGGACTACTCAACAACTGCTGATGCATGTGCAATGTTTTCCTTTCTCGTATGCTAAAAAGAACTATAATAATTCAGCAACTACTGCTTCAAGTTCTTAATCAGAAATATCTATAAAAGAAGATATTACTGCATTACAAACTACTTAAGTCACGTGCTGTACAAAGAAAGCAATGTATTTACTTGGAGGAGAAAGAAATCCATATGTTAGTCGAGGATGATTGTTGTAAAATGAACACGTCTGGTTATGATTAGAAGGAATACGAAGATCCTTGTGTAAACAGCTGGAAATATCTTCTGCAGTAGAATTCCAATTGTCCTATTGAACAAGAAGAAAGTATCACTAGAAAATTAAAATTAAAATAGCTGACTTGCAATATTTTGTTCAATGTGGGGGACTGCAGAATTCTAAATATTTACCCACGGCTGCTTTCAGTGGTGCAAAGAGGCTTAAGATTCAAATGTTGTCCCTATTTTGCCGAGGAAAAACAAGCCCTCTCATTTGCTGCACATGTTTTTAAATAAAATAAGCAGAACTGCAGTATTTCAGTTAAGAATAAGATCCCCTTACAAAGGAAGACTGGGAGGTCCCTACTAAAGCTAACTTGATCTTGTCTGAATGCATACGCTTAGGCTAAGAGTCAGAGGCAGCCATCTCTCTCCAATGGGCCACTTGTTACAATAACTGTTTGCTTTGAGCCACTGACCTCCCAAGAAACTCAGGATAAAGCAAACCTTGACAGAGCTTAGTTTGGTTTACTTATAATGGCCATTATTTAAAACCTGTACAGCCCAGATAATCAAACTAAAAAGCATCTTCTACAGTCCTAATTTCACTTCAAGCATGCCTTGGCTTCTAAATTTTCTACAAACTGGAAAACCAATCTGAAAAACTTTCATTCTTAACATCAACAATCTGCATGAACATCTTAGCACATGGTTCAGGACAGCAAAGTCTAGATTAATCAACAACTTCTTTAAACTCAATCAGAATGATCTTCTGAGGGAAGGATTCGATCAAGGCATCAGTGGTTACAGATAGCTCAGAGATTATCTTTTCAAAAGGGTCCTACATTTTTATAAACACTGCTTTATCTGGCAGACTGCTATAGCAGACCTACATTGCCAAGCAGTGGAGTAAATGCAGATTCACAGGATCTCTCAGTCTCTGTGGCAATGGTCTCCTCACTTCCTGGTGGATCTGTTCCCTCCAGAGGCAAAAGCTTATGCCAAGAAGAAGGAAGGAGTCAAAGCCAACTCTTATTCCAAAAAGTGTTTGGGAATAGCTGTCATTCAATCTTTTTAGCTTTCAATGTTGTTTCCAACATTTCTTCAGATACTTACATTTTTGTTAATGGTGTACGAACTCCACAGTGACATCTTGTAGTCCTTGCTGTATCCATTTACATAGCGGTAATGGTAAAGGAGGCAGTAATTATGTTTCTTCTGCAGAACCCTGGGCCGTCCGTAGGGCAAAGTGAGTGTCTCTATCTTCTTAACTGGAGTAGATATAATGCTAGTTACATTTCAATTGATAATGGTTGTTGAGAACCTTACTCTTTTATACACCTAAAATTGCCCTGATTTCTACTTGCTAAATAGAGAAATCGTAGTAATAAAGCAAAAAACAAAAAATTCTATTCTTGTATCAAAGGTGTAGTTTCTATAAGGCAAGAAATTAACTGACAATAATTAAGAAATTAACTGACAATACCAATATAAAGAAATACGCCAACGTACATAACTCAAATGTACAATGTTCAGTTTTACAGTGTATTTAAAACAACACAGACATTTTAAAATAGTAGATGGATATAAAATGCAAATTTTAGTCATAGTTGATTTTGTGCTTTGATATAAATACACATGTGGGATCTGCTTTTACTTAACTTTTAGCTGAGAAATAAACTAATTGTGGTGATTTCAAATCTAGTGAAGGGGCTGTTTTAGTTTAAAGCACAAAGCTATTTGAAGAAATGACATTTATGGCTCTACATTTCATTGGCCTTTAAATGATACGGTGAAATAACAGATTTTCAGATGCGTGAGGACTAAAATGGAGCTGTAGGAAAGAAGGGGACAGACTCTTTAGCAGGGGCTGTTGTGATAAGACAAGAGGAAATGGTTTCAAACTAAAGGAGTGGAAATTTAAATTGGATATAAGGTAGAAGTTTTTTACAATAAGAGTAGTGGGGCACTGGAACAGGTCGCCCAGAGAGACGGTGGATACCCTGGCCCCAGAGACACTGAGTGTCAGGCTGGATTGGACTCTGAGCAACCTGATCTAGCTGCAGGTATTCCTGTTCATTGCAGGGGGGTTGGACCAAATGACCTTAAAAGGTTCCTTGCAACTCTAAGGATTCTATGACTTTATAATGACTGTGATGGTCATGAAACCCTTCCCCCCCCCTTTCTCAGATCACACTTCTCTACAATGTTTGCCTACAAAAAAAAAAAAAAGCAGCATCTCTAAGATGCTAAGATCTCTAAGGGTTTCTGCCAGATCCTTGCCTAGGGCAGTGCCTGTTTATGTCCATTCACCAACCGCCACACAGAGCAGTGAAGACTTTCCTTTAAAAAGGTAACAGAAACAATGTATGTGGGATCAAAAGAGGGGATAGTCATTAGAAAGAAGCTAAACAGAAAAGCAGAGTTAGCAACATAAACACTTTACAGTGTATTTTTTCTTAAGATTCTTAAAATAATAGTGAAAAAAAAAAGTAACAGGGTAGAATCATAAGAAACATGCTCCTGCATTTACCTAATGCAGTCCAAAAATGTCAAAAAAGGTTCCGAATTTTTGAAGATAAACATTAATTTCATCAAAAGACTGAATATTTATTTAGGTGGAAACAACAACAACAAAAAAATATTTTCAAGTTTCCAGTTCTCTAGTGTAAAATAAAAACTAAGAAAAACTAGCACATCATGAAAACATCTCAAAATAATAAAAAATATTGCTTCACTGCTGAATATGCAAATGGTTTTGATTCTTAAATGTATGGAATTATAAAGAAGGGGGCCAAAGCTTCAGGTATATTTACCATTAAGTAGGTTACTGCCATCCACAAATCTTCAACTTCAAGGCAATTGTTTTAAATGAGGAATTCAATTCCAAATTTAAAAAACAAAAAAAATGAAGTCAAGTTCATGACATTTATTTCCCTACCCATCATGGAAAAGACAAACATTTTAGGCTTGACTGTTTGTTCTCTTTTTCCATAAAAACTTAAAAAAGCAGTAGTTAATTGCTCTTATATGGCTGTCAAGTTATAACAAACAATGTCAGAATATGCAGAGGTAATCAATAAACTGAATCCTTTCAAGGAGTATGGAGGCTGGCTGATAGACAAGGTGTTGTTAGAGATGGAAGGAATGTATGTAATAAGTGCAGGATTCATACGACTTAAAAGCAAATTACTTATACTAAGATCAGCGGTAACCTAGGATAAGCCAAGCTAACATCCTAGTGTTTCAGAAGTGTAGGTTTAGAACCTTTAGTTAATTTTTTACAAAATGGGTTCTAAAACATATTACATGCCTGGCATATTTCTCCAAAGCCATATTCAGCAGGGCACTCAGGCTTCTACCTACATATTCATAGTTTGTTTCAGATAAACTACTTACACGCTATGAATAAAGCACTGCTGCCGTATCCTACTAATTGGATTTTATTTCACTGCTCTTATGCATGTTGCAATACCAACAACTGATTTTTTAAAAGTCTCTGGGACACACTTTAACAAGATGCCCTGCTGTCAATGGAAAATGCTCAAGAAAACTATTCACTTTTTGTGCCAGGACAAACTACACAAGTCAAAGAAGCCTTAAGTTAGTCCTGAATAAGCATCAAGCACTGGATCCTGCCTGTAGCTGACATAAATCCAATTCTTAACAGTGAGCTACAGCAGGTTCTCAACAAATACAGAGATTATTTGCTTAAGAAACAAGGTTCCATGAGCAAACACCTAGCAAGGTTTCTATCAACCTATTTTCCTTTCCAACCATCTAACTGCTATGACTCCATTTATTAAGGTATTAGTATGAAGGGCTAGATTCCAACTTGTTTTCCATTATTTAATTAATGTGTTTTGCTTTACAAGTTATAAATACATATATGGCCTTGCAAACTGCAGCTCAAACTTGGCACAAGTGTGCCCACAGAACTGAAATACAGTATTAGCACAGCAAAAAATGATTTAAAACCACGTGATAACCAGATCATGTAAAATATTCTGTACTTCTTTAGATGTTGCCAACATGACATCAATATTTACAGGGATTACTTATCACATAGTTGTCCATTCACCACTTTTGCTTCTCATTCTGAAGGGCTCATTATTTCAGTGTTGGAAAGTTCAAATATTTCAGATAATAACATGCACGATAAAGACACATATACACAGCTATACATGTACTCCAGAACAGTTTAGTAGGATTGTATCTGAATCCTACATATACATGACAGAGTTGTAACCCCAAAGAGCAATTCAAAGAATTTTTAACTACATACTTGATATTTGTTCAGAAGTTTAGATATCAAATATTTTACATTTTTAATTATCCTCACCTTTATATTTTCATTCTCTTTTACAAGCTAAATGTCTTACCTTCTGTTTCAGTAAGATTTAAACGCTGATGAAAATCTCTTACTGGCAAGCCCTGTAATTATAAAGCAAAAACATTGATTTTTTTACTATGTGTTTCACAAAGCAATTTATATTCCACTACTTACAATAATAAATGTAACACATCTGACTTGCAAGTTAACCCTGTATAAAACTCACAGACAGGTACAGCAGAGGAGCTACGGAGAACTGCAGAAACACACTGTTTTTGCCACAAGTGTATCAACATCTTTGAAAATCAATCCCAAGCATACAACATAGTCACAGAAAGGAAATTTCAACATAGTAAAGTGAACCAAGTAATAACTAAATGCTTTTCCCATCAAAGTTTGCTTCTGCAGTGTTTTCCACACTCGTTAGAGCTGAATGTTGCTTTACTTAGGAAACCTCAAAAAATGAACATGCAAATATAGGCTCTCTAACTCCAGGCAAGACATGATTTTGAGACCGGATTAAAAAAAAAAAAAAAAAAAAAAAAAAAACCAGGAAGCAAAACTACGAGATAAATATTTATACTAGAGAATCCAGAGTCTCACTCTGAATACAACAGAGACAAATGCCTCGATGACTTCAACCATTTCGGTACGTACTGCTATCCTGCAGGAGCAGCCAAGGCTCACTGGAAAGGTTCTTTGTCCCACAAAAGAGCATTCAGAAGGATGGCTTGTTTCTTTGGGATGGTGAGGGGTGTAAACAGGATTCCTTAAGAGATTATTTAGGCATCCATGGGTTCCATTGTTTGGGGCTGGCTTCAAATCAAGCAAGTCTATGAAAGAATTCAAGTCACAGGACAAAACACACTATAATACATTGCTGCTTGTGTTGTGATAGCAATTATGGTTGATTACAAGATAATAATGAAATAATCCTGCACTGCTTGCTATTCAGAACAACTGAAAGGAAAAACAATGTAAGCACTTTTAAAGACAATATATATATATTCTCAGGTAGGGCTCAGGATGGAATTAGTCTGCTTGCAAGGAAGTACAGAATAAGCACAAAAAAATCATATAACACATACACAGAATCACTGAATGCTTGGGGTGGAAGGGACTTTAAAGTTCCAACCTTCTGCCATGGTCAGGGTTGCCACACACTGGGATCAGGCTAGATCCCTTGCAACCCAAGCTGTACTGCAATTCTGTGAAGTGTAGCAGTTTGAACTCTTCAGAAAACATGAGGTGAAATTCCTTCATTCAGACGAGACAATCAGTTGTACATATCTGACGTTTATGCTTTAAGTGCTGACATGCTGCACAAATGCAAACAGTATTTCTCTTTGGCTGCCCTTGGAAGAAGGTGCAGTCAGAGTATTTTAAGAAAAATCTCAGGGACCTGACTGAAAGAACATGCCTTTCTGCAGTCCAGAAGGTACCTAAGGCCCTGGGCAAGGAAAAGTTTTAGTAAGTTGCCTCATTTCATCATTTTCTATCTAAAAGTAAAGGTACTGGCTTCTAATTCCTTCTATACAGGATGGAAGAAATCTGGACATCGATGAGTGAGTATAAGAAATCTGATCTGCCACTGAACTTGCTTCTATGAGATGTCAGTAAAGACTGCCACACAGCATATACAGAAGGGAATGGGAGAGCATTAGAACAAGGTTCAAAGAAATCAACTACAACATGAAAAGACATCAAAGCACACAAGGGTGTGAGATGCATACTTTCTGACAGTAGCCTGTTTCCTATTCCAGCAAAGAATTTAAACACATGGCTTAAATATGGTATACCTGATCATTGTCACTGATCTCAAGCATGTGCAGTGCTCCCGTTAAGTGCTTTCTGGATCAAACCCTTTGGTAACAAATTGTCTCTCACAGAAGCAGGTGTTAGAGCAAGCATGGATCCTGGTAAGAGAGAGAAGGAGGCAGGAGATAATGGAAACAGGTGAAGACCTCCAGGGGAATAAGTGAACTCGGCAGAAAAAAACAGCAATGGATTTCTGGAGAAATCATGAGAGGACAAAGAAGGGACGCAGAAAGTAACAGTAACATTGTATTTGAAAGGGTGAAAAAAAGGAGGGCAGCAAGGTGTCTGATATTCTGAAATGAACCCCCCTTCTCTGGTGCACTGAAAAATCATAGAGAAATGGGGAACCTAACCACAGCAGTTCTGCAGCTAAAGAGATGACTAGCTTTAGTGTGAGACTCTGAAGTCATGGGACTGTAGGCTAATTGAGATAGTTACCATTCATTGAAAGATGAAAAAAACAGCTGTGACACTAGAGAATGAGAATGGATGGGGAAACATCCAAACCCCCAATACATAAATTGAATGACAGGCATCAACGAATTTGGGAGAAGGCTTATTATATGAAGCAAGAAAGTGTACTGTATCAATCAATTTCAATTTCAGTTAACTAAACTGAAAACCTATCTAAATCAAGGCAATAAAAGATTGAAAATATGATAAAGGAAAATAACAAATAAGAATACACGTAGTAGAATGTACAAGGATTGTTCAAGTGTATGAAAAACTGGATGGGGCAGCGGAGCATGACTCTGACTTCCTAGAAATGAGTTGCCTGGCAGCTGAACCCATACCTCCATTCTCATACTACAGTAATTATTTCTGCTCTGCCAGAATAAGGTTTCATTATTGAAGTAAGCCTCTGGTTAAATAGGAGAGAGAAAGGCAGGGTGTGTTTTTGGCAGGAGGAAGGTAGTGTAGGTAGTTTTAATAGTAGTGAGTCAAAATGTCAGCTTTGGAGCAGGTCAGAGGAACACTCACAGTGACTGGTGGAAAACACAGATACAGGCGGCCTGAACAGCACAACCTCAATAGCAATTAGTCCTTTAGAAGCTGAGCCTTTCTCAGGTACTAGTGAAAATTGGCAGAAAGTCTTAAAGATAATTTTCTAAGTACATTTAAAAGTTCATTATCAAAAGATTTATGACACCCAAAAGATTTTGTTTTTAACAAACAAAGAAGACCCCCATCAACTGTACTTACCGCACATTAAATTATATACTTCAATGTTTTCAAATGGATCAACTTGAGTCTGAAATTTGAATCCTGGTCCAAAACCAATAAAGATAGCCTAGGGTTCACAGAGAAAAGAGGATGTCTCTTAAAGACAGGCAGAAACTGAAAATATTTTCACATCCCGATTTTTTTTTTCTAGGAACTTATCCTTAGCAACACAGCACAGGTCAAGTTAAAAGCAAGCTTTTCTTAAAGAAGTAAATATTTTTCCAGTAAAATACACATAATCAGATATTTGAAAAGATGTAGGAATAATTTTAAGAAGTAGTCAATAAGTATTAGGAAACCCAGTTCTGTCTCGCTGCTGCCTTTAAAAGACGCCTTCAGCCATTTATGAAGTTCTTTGCTTCCCTCTGCTTTTGAAGAACATCATTCTCTCAAATGACTTAAATGACTTAATGGAAAAGTTGAGCCAAAATAACCATCACTTTGCATGCCTTGTAAACAATTTGGGAGCTTTTAATTTAAGGCTGTAAAAACATCTGTTGGTAGTAATGTTTTAAATGGATGAAGCAATTGCAAGATCCAAGACTTTTATCACTTCTTCTTGCACCACTTCCTGAATTGGGCTGGCACAAGCAATTGTGTAGCCAAACAGTGAACCCAATCCAGGAACTCAGCCAGCTCAAAACACTTAATATTTTTTCTTCCTGGCTCTTTTTCATTTGATTCAGTTCCCTGACCTACTTAACTCCGCAGCAACACAAAGTTAACACTAGCATAGAGCAGGGTTTGCTGCAGCAGGAAAAACAAGGGGGTGAGGGCAGCAAATGCTTACACTCAACTGATGATAAGATTGTTTTTAAACTTACCTTCAGATATTCAGCTTTTTTTTAAGTAAAGCTTGCATCCATTTGTGCTGCACAGATATTAAACAAGGATGCATGCTTTGCATTCAACACATCTCAGTGCTCTTTGCAAACAATTCAATTGTCTCAGATTTCATAGCTATGTGGAAAAACAGGCTTTTTTCTTTTCTTGTTCTTTTTCTGATATGTAAGCATTAGACAGGCTGTCACTCCACAGTGGTTGCTACCAAAATCTGTAGGTGAGTAGAGACCAGACTTGACTGGCTAAAGGATGCTGTTAAGGGTCATGTTCCTCAGTACTACATGGTGGGAGGCAGAGGGACAATAGGCATAACTTGAAACATGAAAGTTTCAGTCTGAGTATTGGTAACCCATTTATACCCTAAGGACAAAAGAGCAGTAAGGAAGTGGAAAGAGCTGCCTACAGAGGTTGTGCAGTCTCTGTACTCGAGAGTTTTCAAGATTCAATTGCACGAAATCCTGAGTAATCTTGTCTCATCTCACAGCTGACCCTGCTTTGAGTTGCAGATAGGACTGAGACCTCCTGAGATCCCTTCCAATTTGAATTCTCTTGTATTTTATGATTCCTATATTTGAAAATTTGAAAAGTTCTCTTTTCCTGTATTTAATGTTACAACAACAACAAAAAAAGGGCACATATTTATATTCTCATCAGCAGAAGTTGAATTTCTGCAGCATGGACTGAATAGCGCCAGATCTCAACAATAAATAAATCTCAAGCCTCAGCAACCACAACATTCATAATCAGAAGATGCTGAAAATAAAAGCCAATATAAGTTTTCAAACCTTACCTGCATACTTGGGAAACGATTATCTGAGCCATGGAATCCACCTGTGCAACTTTTAATCTCAAGCGGTTTCCTATTAAGAATTCACAATTTACATAACTCACACTTTACAAACTTCATCAGCCTAAAAAACATTCAGTGATGCACTGTTTACTTGCTATTTAAAGATTTTAGAGGTTTTACACAGGGAACAGAAAGTCTTCAAGGTCTAGAAAAAATGCCTTTTGAATCCTCCACAAATATTACTCCTCTGGAATTCATAAAGGTCTGTCTTAGAGTCACTCAAAATCAAAAATCAGATGACACGTTAAGCAAATATTTGTTCTCAGGCTAAGAAATCATCACTTTACTGGCATTTGAGTAAAAGAACTTGATAATACACAAAATGAATAGTTATGTACTTCAGAGGATTCAGCTGGGCATCTTGTAGTCTAGTAAAAACAAGTCTCAAACATATGTTTGTTCCATATACATTATTGAAAGGTGTTTATTTTCAGAAACTCAAACCTGATTTGCAAGACTTGTACACATTTCATTGTTACACAACAGGACTTAGTGAATACATGGGCTTTCAGTATCACAGAGTTATTTAAAACTGCATCGTTACAGCAGATGTCATTATTATGGGAACTGTTAAGTTCAGTGGTCAGAATATGTAATGTAATCACTGATAACAGTATGTTCAGTAAGTTCAGCATGGCTCATTCACATGACTGCTTCAACAACAGCAGTTACACACATGCTTACCAGCACTCACTTTGGAAATTCCTAAAGCATGGCAGGATGTTCATGTGACAGGGGGGACCTTAGTTTCTAACATCTGTGATTAAGCATTTGCACTACCAGCATACTCAGTCAGGAGAGTATCCATAGCTGTGAGATTAGAATTGAGCCTCCTCAGGTGAGCACAAACTCACCCGAAAAAGCTTGACTTCTCTTTGCAACATCTCTTTGCTTAGACAAACAAGAATTCCAGGCTCCAATGGCTATCATTTAACTCTATACACCTGGAAGTCAAAGACTACGAGAAAACAATGATATCTTTGCTGTATAATCAAGTACATAAAACTGTAACTTACCTAGCTAGTTGCCACTGGGAATTTAAATAAAAGTGCAGTGGTTCAATCCGGTCATTATTGGCATAATGGAAACGCTTGGGTAGAAACTGTTTCATATAAGCTTTGAAAGGCTGATTTGGTTCTATGCACTGAAATATTTAAAATTAAAATATAAAATGCACATTCAATCACAATTTCATGCAGAGTTCTTAGCACTTCTCTCACAAAGGGTCTGCAGTAGTTTCTTCTAAGAACAATGGGACTACATCATGTTTGGAGTAACAGGACACATAAATATTAATAAATATATAGCAAATACGAACTGGTTTTGCAATCAACAGTTATTAAAAGAATATTTATATGGGATTATTAATATAATTTACTCTTGTTATTTTTTTACTTACAGCCTACAATTGTACAGAACCAAACTGTACACTGAGACATTATGATACTTTCAAGCGGTAGGAGTGTATCCAGTAAAATAATTCTATATTTCTGTAATATTAGAGTCACAGATACTCAAATCAGGACAGTCATTTTATTCTGACAGCTTAGGATCCATTCATTGTTAATAACAACATGACTGAAACAGTAGAACTTTGAATTCACCTATACAAACAGCTTAGCTCTCACTGACAGCAGTGTCAGCACAACTGAGAAGCTAACAACAGGTTATGGTGCAGGCATGAGAACAGAATCAGGAATAGCAAAGTTCAAGCTGGATTTGACAAAAAGATATCACTACCCAACTAAAAGCTGTTTATCAAATAGGTGTGAGCAAGCTAATCTTATGCTCATCCAGGAAATGGAGTTAAGATTTACATTATTGTGGCCTTCAGCCAGTGTGGTCCAGAAGCACAAGTTCTGAAGAGCAACGTGATTATAGCATGAGGTCAGAGTTAGTGAAAACAAATGAAAACAAAACCTTAGTTAATACACAACCAGATACAGCCATATGATACCCTAATAAACTTTGGCCTTCTCCTACATGGAATTACTTTTATGTTGTTAACTTTATAGAATGTAGAAAGTTACTGACTCAAAGTCCTGATGTCATTTTAGCAGCTTAGAAAATAGTTGATGCTACAAAATGCCTAGTAGAAATAAAGCTAGAGCAGCAGATAAGACAATACTTACTGTGAGGTTTCTGACAATGCCTTCATAATTAACTGGAAGAATCATATGTAAGAATTAGTCACCTAAGTTAAAAAAGATCAGATGTAAAATGAAAGCATCTTCCTTACGTAATTTAATTACCTTCAATTTCAAAAATTTTCCAGAACAAAAGCTATCTGTAGCAAAACAATCAAACTATTGCTTCTATGAAATTTTAGTTCACCTCCCTTGCTTACTTACAGCTTTACATTTTTAAACAGTATTAGCTACATCAGAAAAGTAATCAAAGTATGCTCCCACAAAAAAGGCAGCTAAGTGCTGTGCTAATTAAGCTAGAATTTTTCTGCTTGCTAATGAAACTAAGGAAAAAAAGAAACAAATAAAACAGTAAGGACTGCAGTCTTGTCTGGCTAATATCCTTAGCAAGAAAAGCCAAGTAAAGTTAGCCAAGATTCAGATTCTTAGATTGAAGCCAAAAGGGGACATTACATCATTTAGCTTGACATTTTGTGTAACAGAGGAACATTAACATTTCACACAGTTACTCTGCACTAAGTCTGATATTCAATGCTTGACTGAGGTACATAAAGGATTGCGTTTGCAGGGAACCATTAATAGTTCCTGCAAAGATACGTGCAGTGCTACAAACACAGCTATGTTACTTCAGGAAGACAGTACATGTATCAATAACAGAAGATGCTCTGCTTTTCTTCCTCCTGAACTTGTTTATCCAGACAGAATCTGGAAGTGCAGTTGACTCCCACATTCTCCAAGGAAACATTTAAAGTTGTTTAGAATAGCACCAAGAAATGACATAAAGAGAAATAAAAGTTACTGGTGTTAACGCATACAAGTTTTAATGAGCTTGGAAAACAATGGAAAAAGCATGTCTTCTCTGAAAGAGATATGAAACATGAAGGAAACACTCATGTTCTACATTAAAAACAGTCAAACCCTGCAGATATCAAGTGTTCCTCTGCAATGTGACTGCATAATAAAATTAAAAATTTGTAAGTATTCATTGATTTTTACTGAAGTGGATTATCTTCTTTTACAGTTTACTCTGCTGATCTGTTGTCAGGACATCAGGAGAAAACCCATTTTTTCATTATAAAATAATATGTAAAATACAAAAAAAAACACCAACAAATATTACTTTAAGTCAAAAATAAAACATATTATACATTTATACACATTTATACTGGTAAATCACTAAATAAGGTGAGATATGATGGAGGATTAGGAAACTATCTTGAGATCTGATTCAAAGGAATGTCTTTCATATAGCAAGAACATTTGTAGTTGTTCGCATGCAAAAGGAATTTGTAGGATTTATGCACACTTTTGGCCCTACAAAGCAAAATGCTCTTTAAAAGCATGTGTGCACCACTCAGTATTTTCCTTTCATTATTACTCAGGTTGTCCCCAGCTGAGCTTCACTCAGGTTTAGCAGTGTATTATGTGAATCTTAAGTTTGTATTCAGAAAGCACTAAAGTGTATAACCAAGTAATAAAAATGAGTTTAACAACTACATACAAGAGAAATACTCATCTGGAACATTATTAGGTCGAAGGCGAGCTGCAGGACCAGGCACTAATATGAAATCTTGAACGTTGTCCAGATAGCTGTTCAGATATGCTGTTTTTCTGCAACTCCCTGCTTCCATCCCTGCACAAGGAAGTACATTTCATTTAAAAATGAGAATATCAACGTGGAGTGTTCTTACTGATGAGAGATATAAGACATAGAATTTAAGCTGTAGAAACCACATATGTAATATCTCAGGCCTTTTTTTTTTTTTTTTTTTTTTTTCCTTAAATCAGCAATACCAAGACACATGATCCAAGGATACCACAATACACTTGTACATAACGAAGTGTAAAACATCACACGTACATATATATATATGCACATATATAGCCACTTCTGCAGCCCAGAAAGTCACTCCAACTGAGTAAATTTGACTGGACAAATTTTCTCAAAGGGAAAGAAATCACATGTGTCTAAGAACAGTGGTAATGATGAGACAAATATTGATAGAACAAGGGGCTTTCAACTAAAAGAGGGGAGATTTAAATTAGATATAAGGAAGAAAGTTTTTATTCAGGGAGTGGTGAGGCAGTGGCACAGGCTGCCCAAAGAAGCTGTGGGTGCCCCATCCCTGGAGGTGTTCAAGGCCAGCACAGATGGGGCCCTGGGCAGCCTGAGCTGGTAGACAGCAGCCTTGCCCACAGCAGTGGGATTTAGAACTGGATGAGCTTTAAGATCCTTTCCAACTTAAACCATTCTATAATTCCATGATTCTGTGATTCACTTAGTCCAACATCCCACCTAATTGTGTTTCAACTGATGCTTGGAGAAATAATGTGTAAGCATATCAACTACGGACTGAACTTTCTCCCATTGTTTCTTAGCAGTTTCCAAAAGTCATAAAGTTGCATACTGCATTTGAACTCTTATATTGAATTATAGCTCGACAGGTTCATCCTCCATTTATTTGTTAGATGTATTTTAAACCTGCATATATATTTGGCCTAGATCATTCCCAGTGACAGTGAGTTCTGCAAGTTGGTCTTATGCAGCATCAAAGTGTACTTTCACTTGTCAGCCACAGTTGAAAAAATGGAATGGTGAAAGATACAATTTTTTAGCTCTTATTATAGAAATAATTAAAGAAATATAGAAAAGCTACTACAGAAGTAAATCCAAGTTTCATATTCACTGTTTTTTAATAATGGAAAAGGTAATTAATAACTGAAAAGAATACATGGCATTGATTTTTACTTCTTCAGCAATTCATAGACCATTGCATAGTGTAGTTAAAAGAATAAAACAAAACCTGTTTTTTTCCAATTCATTTTTTTACTTCTCTTACCAGCTGGCCCTCCCTGTGCTCTTCACTTCTTTTCCTCACACTCATAGCCTAATTCCCACCTAAACTGATTGTCTCTTATGCCATCTTCATAATATAAAACATATTTTATATGTTAATATTACCAGAAACACGCAAGAATAAATTCAGAATATTACTTTATGAAAGCCTTTCAAAAATGTGACATATTTTATAAAAACAAATTTACCATGATCTGATATAAAAATAATGTTCAGGCATTTGTGCAAGTTCATTTGTTTGAGACCATCCATCAGCATCCCAACTATTGCATCTACTCTCTGCAATGCCAAAATGACCTGCGAGGACAAAAACAAGCATGTCATCTTCTTAAACATTTTAACTGAAGAAAAAAAAAAAAAAATAAACCCCAAGCCAATAAGTAAGTAACAATTAAAAAAAACCAATGAACTCCACATTTCTAGAGAGAGGGAATAAATTTAAACTTCAAAGGTATGTGCTAAACATAAATAAAAATCTCTCCATTTTAGGTGAGATGCAGTTCAGACATAGGTGAGGGACATAGGGCAACTAGCCAACTATGCAGCAACCTTCAAACTCACTACAGGGAGCACATAAAGGAGGAACATATAAAGGTGCAAAGTAAAGGAAGAAATTCGAGGACAAGAGAGTGAAGCATTCTCAATACCTCATTAAACTTGCTTCTTGTCTATTTCCACTTCTCTCAGTATCGCATCCTTCATATGCATATTCTTTGTGTCTATTGAGAACAGGCTCAAGAGGTATAACTATCATGCTAAATGGAACAAGAGCCTGAAGACTGCCTAGGATCTGCACTACTCAAAACTACCTCCATCTACAGAAGACTGGCTGTATCCCTTCAGCTCTTGGTTCCAATTTTTTCTGCCCCTCACGCTGTACTAAGACTAAGCCATGTGTTTTTATGTCTTCTCTCAGTTAAAAACATTTGGAAAAAAAAACAGATTACAGCCTGTGAGATCAGTTTTAGAGTATGGAATTGAGGATGTTTGTCAATTTACTAGAGGCACAACCAACAACTACAAGGAATGCCTCAGAACACAAGTGCTGGTGGCAGAACACCAGAGGACTGAAGCCAAGCCCGCAGCAATCTGCCTCAAAATTCCCATTTGGAACAGCCAACTGTGGCTAGGTGGCAACTAGAAATTACCCTTGAAAAATCAAGAGTTTTCTACTATTGTCACTACTGAGGTTAGATATCTAGATAGATTCTCAAGCTTTATTCAGTAAAAAGTTCTTGAATTTTTGAGAGCTTTTTCCTTTGCATTTTTCACTTCAGTTTGTAAAAATAGAAAGCCACTTAACACTCCTGGAAACAGAAACATTGATCATTCCTGAAGACTTCTTACTTATACAACAGCTATATTACAGCCTGTGATATCTTCCCTTTTATTACCTTTCCCAAGAAGGTATTAATTCTGACCTCAGGGAGGTAAGATTAATATTCTTTTAACCTTCGTACAGAGACTGGTAGAAAATCATAACACAATGTTTATCCACCAAAATTGGACCATCACCACTAAAACCTCTGTTTTTGACAAGGTGAAAGTACACAATCAAGGTAGTGTTTCTGTTGCTGTGTTGGGTTTGGATTTTTTGGGGGGTTTTTTTTTGGTTTGTTTTATTTTTCTAAATTCATCATTCAGAATTAGTATCAGACAGATAAAACAACACACAATACATCCAAACACACTTTGGTGATTAAAGTTATTGAAAAAAACATAAACATAAAAGCTAGACTTTCTAAATAGGCTGCTTTTTACATGTTATGCATCAATGTTAATTATGACAAACCATCTATTTACAAATTTTTTTTGTAATAAGGATGCTGACTGTGGTCTTAGTTAATCAAACACAATTTATAAAAGCTTTATTATATAATCATATCAAAGCTTTAAATTAAAAAAAGAAATTACTTACTCCACTGCTTACTGGTCCAAACTTATGGCCTGAGGAATCTGGTTCTTCTAAATACAGAGTGTAAAAGTGTGGTCTAAATCAAACAGTACCAAAAATGTAATATTTTCCATACACATTGAGACGGCTTGAAGAGATTATATTTCAACAGTGGATACAAAATATCAGAAACAACTCTATCATTCAGAGGCAGGACACATTAAAGGGAAAGAGAGAAATGTAACAGTAAAAATAGGTTTCACTAGTAAAAACAGGCTTGCATTAACAGTACTTTAACATTGCCAGAGTAATGTTTAAGACTATTTAAAACAGAAATCATATTTACAAAGTATTTCATTGTAAAACCACTGGAACAAAACTTGCAATTGTATACCTACCTTTCATCTTCAGGTAACTGCAGCCAGCGAAGAACAGTTACCACTCTTTCTTCAAAGGGGATTGAGCTGTATCAAAACAACAGAAGATCGACTACATAAATTTCCAAGATGTATAAAATTTTAGTCCCACATTTTACAAAATTAGTGTTCTTCTGAAGAGAATTTTGTATTCAATGGGATGGTATTAATGGATATATAAGAGAATGCAAGTTTATCTGTGCTAATTTTCTGGGATTCTTCAAGAGCCTGCTCTAAAGCTTGCTTAGTCAGTGTTCTCCCCACTGACTGCAGTGCGCTTAGCATTCAGCTCTCAGTATTGCTTGAGTTTATTTCGCAAACAGAATAATTGACTTAAAGTTACAAAGACACACGTAGGTTTTCATTTCTGTATTAAGTCTCAAAAAAGTCTTAGGTTTGGATTTTATATTTATACAGTTTGAGTACAAGTTCCCATACTACCTCACAAAGCAGATCATCATATCAATTTCTGAAATAGACCAACAATGAGCATGTTGACCTGCAATAGCACAAGGCATTCACAAAGTTCATAATTCAGATACCTATCACAAGTTTAACTGAACATATACAAGTCACTAAAGAAAAGTATTGATATTAAGTCAAGAATCAGGATTTCCATGCTACATTAAGGATGTAGGAAGACAGAATGATCCTACAAGACAGAAATGAGAAGCCTGGTTTCTTGGAAGAGAGTTGAGATTACTACATAAATGATGACAACTAGATTTATGTAGCATTTTCATTAGGCAGAAGATAATTAATTGCAATGAAGACCAATCACAGAATAAAGTATCATTGGTTTAATGTGAACTATTTTGAAAATTTGCTATGAAAATAATTTTACTTTGGTAAAATTATCAGTAAGGTGTTAGTTTTCATGGGCCTGATCTATTCATGTTATGAGAGATATAGATTGAGTATTTCTAAACACACACACAGAAGACTTGTATAAATGAAAAGTAAAATAAATGAAAAAGCCAGTACTTTTTCAAAGCTGTTTTTCCTTTTCCTGTAAAATGTTTGCTGAGGAATGACAAAACAGGTAGACAAATAATCTACACTATAGTGAAAAGGAATTAACTGGAGCTTACTTTTCTTCCATACTGCGTACAACTGTTAAGGAATGCAGGAAAACTTCTATATTTTCTCTGGGATTAGTCCCATTGCAGCAGTTAAAGTAAAATATTAATCCAAGACATGAGATTTTACATACCTATTGTATTCTTTATACAGATCTGGAAAAGTCCCATCAACTGCTACATCTGATCCAGGCCAGAAGAATGTACCAGCTTTTAGACCTTGGTACATAGCTGTTAGCCAAATCTGCATGAGAATAACTGTTGTCATTAGTGGATTTCACTCAACTGCAAACCACTCCCACCACCTCTGCACATTCCAGAAAGACGAAAAACTAAAAAAGTAAGCAGAGCACACAAGACAGTCAATTTTGTGTATCACTGTTCTCTTCAGCTCTAAAAAACTGTTCCATTTGATGCCTTATTGCAAACACCTGTATCCCGTTTGCTATGTACAGAAGCAGGAACTATCAGCTCCCACAGCTAGAAGCATGAACATGACAGCAGAACCATGGCTGAATACTACGAAGCAGAAATGTCTCAAGAACGGTGCAGTAAGCAAGAAGGAGCAGGAATGTTCCAAGGAACTATGCATACTGTGAAATACAGGAACAACAGCTAGGTCTACTCTCTCAATTTTACTACAGATTCTATGATTTACAGGGTTTTTTTTTTCTCTTTGAGTGTTTTTTTTTTTCCATCTGACTCATGCACCATTTTCTTCTACATGGTCTGCAAAGTCTAACTGTATTCTTTCCTCCTCAAAAAATCAATCCTCCCACTACTACTAAAAGGTTGTATCTGTTCCTTTCCTATTCTTCATGCTAGCACTCAACCAATCTTTCCCATACCATTTCATTTTGATGGCAGTCTCAGCAGATTTGCAATAGAAGTATGACTGAACCACAAGGTTTTCCTTTAGAACTGTATCTTTAGACTTAATAGAAATTTGGGTGGAATACAAACTTTCACTACTGCTTATTACCAAAGCTAACTGTCCTGTCAATTTCCTTAGATGAATTAACGGTAAACACACTTGACATTGAGAACAGAACAAAATCTGGTATCTTTGTTAGTTATTTTAAGCTATTTTCTCCTTGGGGAAAATTCCACTGAAGTTCAACAAAATCTATTACGCTGTTGCATTCCTAATCCTGTGGCTCTACTATGGCAATTCCTAACCATGCTGAGTAACCCTTTTTGGCTGACTTGAAAGTACCCTCTGTACTCTTTCAACATCACTGTGTAACCAAGTGACATTAAATAATATGAAAATGCACTGCAGTATGCTCTCAGCAGTGCACTAATACTTACAGGCTGTCCTTGGTACCACTCCGGATTAAATTTCTCCTTACTTTTAAGGGTAAAGTATGCATTTCTTTTGAGGTCATACATCTTGTTATCAATTATACCATGAGATTCAGGATACAGTCCCTGTAAAGGAGATTAAACCTTGTTGCAATGCAATAAAGAAAAAGAACCTTGTACCTACACAAACAGCTGCTTGTTTGACAAATATGCAAATCAAATAAACATGTAACCTTATTCCTCCAGTAATTCAACTCCCAAATATAAAATCAATACCTTTAATTGCAACCAAGCCTTGTATTTTAATTCTTCACTGCTTCTCAGTTAGATAAGAAATATAGTAATGATAAAAAGTAGGTATTTCAAGTGAAAATTATCTGTTAATGGCTGAAAGGTCCAAATAGGGAAAATCGTGTAAACAGTGAAAGAAGTTCTCTGAGTCATCAGCTGCTAGGTAGTTTGAGTTTTACTGCTCTGTTTTCATGCAGACTGGCTTCTTTTTAGATTAAAGGATGCAGTAACAACACCATTAGGGCCCTCATAAATATCATAGCCTGCTAATTTTTACAATAATGGGCAGCTGAGACAAAGCTCTAGACTATATTTAGAGGTACTCTAAAGTGGCTGTAGAACACGATTAATGCCTCTAATTGCATATTCAAACATGGATATTTGGGAGGAAACACAATTAAAAATCTCATTCCTGTCGCTCCTGCTCACTTATCAAAAGAGAGTCCAAAACACTGGGAAGAGAAGAAAGAAGACTCAGATCCTCAAGTATTTAATTGAATTTTAGCTCTCACATCATGAAAATAAGAAGGCTTTGCTGGATTCCAGCTCTACATCCAGACTTGAAAATCTTCTTTTTCTTTTTACACACAGAAAGTAGATAAATTTACTAGGCCAGGACTGGGACATCCCTGTCCAGGTTTGAGTATTGTCAATCACAAAATGAACATTAATGCAATGTTCAAATCTTTCATTTCATACTCATCTTTGGGTCAGATCAAGATGCCTGAAACAAGTGGAACAAGGCTGCCTTCTTACGGAAGAGAGATCTTCAATTAGTGGAAGCATTAATACAAATTAGGAGTTAAAAAGCAACATAACTTTGCACCCATATTGGAACTCTTACAGCTGGTATTGGAAAAATTCAATTACTTAATCATATTAGACCTAACCACTTAATCATAGTGCTATGTAATGACTGTTAATCCAAATTTTGTAGAGTATAAAAAACATACTTCCACATTCTTTAGGCAAAATCTAATAATTTTAACAATGCACACAAGAGAAAAAACACTGTTGCCTTGGAGACAACTTGATAATAAAGGTTCTTCAGTAGCAGAAACATAATACACATGAATACCTACTGTGACAATGGAGTAGTGATTGGGAAAGGTTTTTGAAGGATACACTGGTCTCATATTGGAAGTGTACGTTCCACATTTCTCTAGAGAGAGGGAAGAAGGCAAAACAGCTAAATTACAGATGAAGAAATCTCAGTAAGTTTCTATCATGCAAAAACATTTTTTGTTGTTAGTTTTTTGTTTTCTTTTTAAATGATGCTTCCAAAAAGTTTTAATTTTTCAGAATTCTGGAGTTAATATCTCCTGTTTCTTCCCACATTTATTTACAAGCTGAATGAATGGTTAGCAATACAAATTTTAAATATTCCTAAAGACTAACTCCAATGGTCACGAGTAAGGTCTACAGTCCTTATGAAAAGCACATGCATAGGTAAGAATGAGTAATCATAGAATCACAGAATCCTTAGAGTTGGAAGGGACCTCTGAGGGTCGTCTAGTCCAGTTCCCTTGCAATGCACAGGAACACCACAGCTAGATCAGGTTGCTTAGGGCCTGATCCACGCTCACATTTGAAGCCTTCAGGATTGGAGCATCGATCACAACACTAGTTAACCTGTTCCAGTGTCTCACCACCCTCACTGTAATCAAAGAAATCACTCCCTCCAAAGTTGTCCTGCTGAGCAGAAGGTGAAATGAGCAACTTTAGACCAACTAGCTTCTTGAGAGCTCTCAGAAGTGAAATAGCTGATGGCACAGTGGTGCCCTGGCACTCTCAGTCGCCTATCAAATCGCTATTCACTTTGCACTTTCTTCAATTATTTATTTAAATAAGCTCTTATTCTAGAATGAATCTCAAAGCTTTCTCTACCTTGATTAAAAGGAAAGAAGATTAGTGCACGGTCTTTATTATTTTGAAGATACATTTTCCAGACCAAAACAATTCAGCAAGTTTACTCAAGTTAGCTGCCTAGATTTCAACAGGCAAATGTATGGGACCTGGTTTTTGGTAAAAATAATAGCCTTCATTAATAACATTAAAAATACAATGTGAAAACCAAAAATATTTCAATGGATGCTAAAGAGCCCGAGGTAAAGATCCTGTAGAAAAAGATTGGATCTTCTTCACTTACACTCTGGGTCACATGTATGCTCATAAAAGAGAACAAAAAGATTGATAACACAAGAAGCTTTGCTTCAAAGCACTTAGAACTCATGGGACTGAGTCTTAGCTGGACTAATTTATTTGTGGGAATAAAGATAAAAAGAAGCCAGCAATGAAAACCCTCTCAGATTACACAGGCATTCTCTTTACCTTTGTGTTGTGAAGTAACAAATAATTAGCTGTACTTCTTCGGAACTGCAACACACTTGATGAATTTCAACCACCTGCAAATCTGTTGTTGATGTTGTTTTTGTGAATAGCAGTTAGTGCCACTGTGTGGGTTGTTTTGTTTGTTGGTTGGTTGATTTTGCTTTAAGTTAGAGAAAAAATACACTGAGAACATGTTTTGTCCAAAACTCCAGAGCTTTTTTTTATGACACTTTCCATGAGTTATCACTCCTATTTTTGGTTTGTTGTCTTAGTTAAAGACTGAAGACAAAATGATTTATTTTAAATTATGATATCACAGTGGAAAAGAAGCATGTGAATATGACCTCTCTGAACCTCTGTGTACACATAATGGTTATGCATATGATCCCTGAGAAGCCTCAGCACCATTCTGAATACCCCACTTTCAACAGACAAATGTGGGTGTGTAATAAAACTTGCTAAATGTGAAATTATGATATTGCTTTATAGGCATTTACTCTACCAAGGATCTCCAAGAAGACAAAGAGAGTTGTACTGTAGATATGTCTGAATTAAAATGTGGGGATTTAGCAACACTCTAATGTAAGGAAACTGTAAGCAGTTACATTAGATAACATGAAAAACTGTTCATGGTTTCATAAGTGCCATAATTTATTAACTATAAGTCTTTTAAACACTTATCAGTCCTTTAAAGGGATAACTACAACCTTCAGAAGGATTCAGCACAATCTTTTAACAATTGCCAAGCAATTTATTCACTATAATTTTCAGTCTTCCAGAGGGGGATAGACTTCACTACCCCTTGTTGCACAATAAAATACTGTAGAAATACTTATGCCCTCACAGAAATGACAGCTTGCACCATTTTCAGTGACCACAGATGGATGGGGTGCCAGGCACATGGAAACTTGAAGGCTCAGTGTCATATGATCTACTCCTTAGTGAAACCAGTATCTGATGACTTTTCTTTTACAGAAGGATATTTGCCTCATCTAAGCTTTTCAACAATTTTACTGAGGAAAAAGTGTTAGAGAGCAAGGTTTTGTAAGAAAGACCAGGCTGATTAGTCTCTATACTGTATTATAAAGGACTATCAGCTTACAAAAAGTGTTCCAGAGTAGTAGAAAACAGCAGAATTAACATAGAAATCATATTTCTATCCATATTGTTTTTCATTTTATTCTAAAACATTATTAGACATTCTGGTTTTAGAATCTTCAAACAATCTAATTTTTGATCACCTAAAACTCCATGGCTCTTTCATGAAAGCATTGAAAGATTTGTTTGAGGCAACTGAATTTCTTAGTAGTTAAAATTCATCATGGATTCCGTGGAAACAGAAATACAAACTTGTTATGAAAGTCACCAAGAAAAGTTGCACTGTAACCTATCCAAACCAAAGAACTCAGAAACTTTGCATATAGAAGTGGACATGGCAGCCAAGAAGTCCTGCAGATGCTTTTTGACACCGTCTCATATCTCAGCCAGAGTTGTAACCCTGATTACAGCCAGCATCTCCACTCAAAGCCCTTGTTATGGTGAAAATTTCAATAATTGCATCTTATGAAATTTTTTCAAAGCCTCATTTTATTCTAACAATGAATAAAAAGAAAAGCCAAAACCTCAAATGCATCTGTGAATTGTTATGCTCTGGAATAGATTGAGTTGTAACAACCACTGTAAAAAGGCAAGTATTTTTACTGATTTATTTTTAGTCAAACTGAAACCAGTCACACCAGGTAGTAATTTATGAATGACAACAAGATTGGCGTATTTTTCAGACAAGAAATGCCACCATTCTTTACAGACCACAGGCAAAATAGAGACAGGAAAAGTAAAGTTACTGAGAAACTTCAAAGTTCAGTAAGATACTACACAGTCCACAGGAAAAAAAATCTGCATTTATGAAGCTCTAATTTTTTCTGAAAATGTTTGCTAAATGTTTTCTCAGATTCATCATAATTCTGTGCCACATATCAGCCCTTCTAAATGATCTATTCCTAGTATCTTCCCTTTTTTTTTTTTTTCCAAACAAAATGAAATGCCTTCTACCTTATTTTCTTCAAAGCCATTCCAGCTAAGTATGAGACACTATGCAATGCAGACCAAAATGTGAGCCTACGTCAAACTCACAGCAGAAGCGTCTATCTCCTAAATACTGCAAGGGCTGTGTAGCTGATGTTTTTTAAGGTTATACTGAAAATCCAAAGTCCAGACAAACTGTTTCTAATACCCTCTCTTCTCCTTGCCCTTCCACCCCCAAAAAACTCAAGTTCTCTACAAAGCTGTTACATAGGGCAAAAACTTGAATTTTATGCAAGATTAGTGAGGATTTTTAAAAGTAAGGGTAGTGGCATCTACAGAAAAACAAAACCAATGGGGTTTTGTGGTAAGACAGCGTGATATTGCTTAGACAAGAAAACTACTCACGTAATTTGCTAATAACAGGCAGAAGTCCACCCCATGTCTGCAAATATTCTGCTCTGAAGCCATCCAACGAAAACAGTAACACCGGAGATTTGTTAAATCTGTATAAACAGAATATCAAATATTAAAAGTAAGACTGAAAAATAAATTCATATCATTAATTTAAAAACTTTTTGCAATAATGTTCGACATGTTCCTTAAGGGACTGTAAACCAGACTGATAAAGAGAGAACTACAAACCAGGCCCAAGAAGAAAGGCTCACAGGCTGGCATAACAGCATGCAAGACATCCATTGCATCCCCTTTCTTTGCAGGGTGGCATAACACCCTGACTGAAGAGGCTGAGGTGAGGTGTGCAGACACATATGCACACCCCATGACAGTGCCTAACTTCACAAATATAAAAATAAAGTACAAGCCAAGATGCTCACACAACCCATCTGGGTTCTTCTGTACTCTATCCTCAAGTCAGCCCCACTGGAGCATCACCCAATTCCTTCCATCCCCACGTAACAAAAGGGAAAGAGAAAAAGCAATGGTAATCTGTAGCTCTCCTTTATTCACTTTGTTCCTCTACAATTCACAATTTACTTTTTTTCTGTTAAAAATAATTTAAAAAAACCACCAAAATTTATCTTCTGACTACACAAAACTAAGAAAAATCTCATGTAGAGGATATGTTCAAACACTACTATAACATTTTTTTTCCTTTCATCTTACAAAGATTATTTAACCAAACAGATCTGAACCACCATTCCCTCTAATACCACAAGTACCATCAATCTCAAACCAAAAAATGCGGCCCTACAACTGGAACACTGTAACAATATTTCAAGCCAGAATTTGACAGGTAAATTCAGAAACTGATTTCACTGGAACTAGCAAAAGCAAATTCTCCCTTTCCAGTCTCCACAATACGTATGTTTTCCAACCCTGATTTGTTCCCAGCTTCAGCCCTGTCCAAACTATTTATCTTCAACTGTAAGCACTCAATCTACTGCATCACTGACAGGAATAGACATCAGTAATTTCTTCCCTGAAGAGAAAATATCCTTGCATTGAACCTATATATGAGAACATGCAAGGCTGCCAAAGCAACAAAGTAATCACTGAAAATATATGCCGCTAAAATAAATGAATATATAACTTACACTCCAATTGCAAGCTCATTTTTCCTTTTACTGTTTACAAATTGTAAAATGGAAATTTTTTAAAAAAACTTTATTGCACTTCAGTTTCCCAAAATAAAACAGTGATGATAGAAGACAAATATTACTTGTAAAGTGTTGACAATTTCCTAAGTGACATACCACACAAAAAAATCCAAACCACCATTTACCCTGACAAATGAAACATTTATAAGCCTTATTTCAGTTTAAAACAAACGTGACTGCATTAACCTGAAGATTAGTCAGACAACCAGAATATGTCTATCCAAAGAAAATTTTAATCAACAGTAGAAACTACTGGAAAACAGTTCAGCCAAAATGACTTCTTTAGTCAGAACTGTCACACAGCCTGCCTTGTCTCAGACAAAATAAACTATTAAAATGTATTCATAACATGTGTGCTTGTAGCCTGATTTTCATCTATATATCATCTATAATACCATCTTTTGGAAAGTTCAATAGAGACAGTAAGCTGGGAACAAGAAGCGTATGACCATCAGGGCCAAGAGTAAAGCCTCTGGTGAAAAAAGGAGTAAGAAAACTCTTCACCCATTATCTTTTCACCTATATTATGGGCATTTTTTTTTCTATCACATGTTTTGATCTCTGCACTTTCTCTCAATTCTTATTTTTTTTTAAATTGATTCTCTCCAATGAAAAAAATTCTAAAAAATTTCACTGCAAATGTTCTGCAATAAAATATGACTTTTGAGGCAGTCTGTTCAACATTTGCTTACAAAACTAAAAACCAAAAACTCCTCAGAATGGGACTTGATACTATTGCGCCTTTGGCATTTACAAGTAAACCAACCACTTATTATATGTCTTAGTTGTCTGCAAATCCAGGTACTGACCACCTCACACACATAAATTAGACTTGACAAGATAGGCCATTGATACATTTTGCTTCTTGTATCCTCTACACATGCTGAAATTCAAATAGTTGATGACCTATCCTGTATTCAGGGAAGCACAGCATGAAAGATTACGTTAGACTGTGTTCTTTGGAAGAGCTCCAGTACAATTCCCTTTGAGTAAAACCCTAATTCACAAACTGACCTAAGCTCAGTTCTGAGATAAATCAGTGATTTCTATGACCTTCTGGTGGTGTCTAAGCTTATACTTGCTACTTTCAAAATGCGCTGTCACAAGCAAGCAGAGGTGAGAGTTCAGAGGCTCAAGTTTTGGCCCGGTCTGTGATTCATGCTGGCTATGTGCAAGCTGCATGACAAGGCTGTTTCACAGCACTTGGATAAATATGTATGCCACAGTTACATCCTGACTCCAAGCTAAAGGAAATGCAGTGGTAATTATCTACTCCTACAAGCTGGGTTCTATAGAAACATAATGCAGGCAATACAGGCTTGCTGTGGTCCAGCAGGTTCAGCAGCCAGTAAGACTGCGGGAACTGAACTGCAGACAATGCTGCCAAGCCGACCTGCTTCTCAGCCTGGTTAGACCACAAAAATAACAAGAAAAGCTAAACATTGTACACAGAAAAGTCCTATAGAACTCTGCCTATACACAGTCATAAAGTATTAGAAGTAAAACTTTATTTTTTCCATCAGCTGTATGTAAGCTTCAACAGGAAGAAAAAAGATTCTGTTACCAAGGAGAAAGTAAAGAATGAATGACTTTCAGACACAGGGTTTCTTCCAGCTCACTGAAGACTCCACCACTTCTCTGGGCAGTCTGTTCCAATGCCTGATTACTCTTTATGAGAAGAAATTTTTCCTAATATCCAGCCTGAACCTCTCCCGAGGTTCTTTCATCCTATTACTTTCATCCTATTGCTGGTTACCTGAGAGAAGAGACTGACTTCCACCTCATCACAGCCTCCTTTCAGGTCAGTGTAGAGAGCAATAACATCTCCCCTGAGCTTTCTCTTCTCCGGGCTAAACAATCTCAGTTCCCTTAACTGCTCCTGTTAGACTTGTGCTCCAGACCCCTCACCAGCTTCACTGCCCTTCTCTGGACACGCTCCAGGCTTTGATGTCTTTCTTGCAGTGAGGGACACAAAACTGAACACAGCACTCAAGGTGCAGCCTCACCAGTGCCAAGTACAGGGGACGATCACCTCCCTGCTGGCTGTACTATTTCTGATACAAGCCAGGATCCACTGTCTCTCTTGGCCACCTGGGCACACTACTGGTTTATGTTCAGCTAAGACCTCCAGATCATTTTCCTTCATGCAGCTTTCCAGCCACTCTGCCCTTAGTCGTTAGCACTGCATGGAGTTACTGTGACCAGAGTGCAGGATCTGGCACTGTTTCTTGTTGAAGCTCATATGATTATCTTCATTTGTATTTCATTTACAGCATTTGAGCAGTCTAACTGAAATCAGCAAATTTTCTCAGATTCAGCACATCATTGAACACTGCAGTTTTTGTCTCCTCTGCACTACATGAACAATCCAATTTGAGCCCAGAAAACAAATACATGGATATGTACAGAATCAGAACCAGTACCCTGAGGCCAAAAACCAAGTGCTAAGCTCAAGTCAACTGTGATCTTGCCTATTCTGCCACAGGAAGAAGTGATTTGTTTACAGACTTGTCAGTCTGGGGAGAAGCCTGTGTGCTAACAGTCTGAGGTGAGCTTTCAGTACACGCTGCTTGATTCAAATTTGACCACACATCACCCTTTCCTTAGCTGGGTTTTATTGCAACATTTCTGGTTTTGCCACAATTAAAACAATTTTAGTAAAGTAACTATGCATTCTTTCCATGGGTTGAATAGGAAAAAAATAACAAAACAAAACAAAAAACCAAAACTCTCCTTAAAACAAGTTAACCACCAGGAGTTGCCCTATGACATTTACACCATTAACTGTGGATCTGCGTGAGGCTCGTTTGTTTGTTTGCAACTTAGTCAGCACCCTAGGTCAGTTTCCAGCACACAGCCCTACACTAATATTTCAGAAGAGGAATAAATCACAAAAGCTTCCACAACTGGATGGCTACAGTTTTTCTACGTAGAAGCTTACCAGGGACTTGGGCTTAATGCAAAAAGAACCTCCAGTATCTGTCTTGAAACAGATTCTGAAGTGTCAGTTTGCTATTCTGAATCAGAATGAAAAATGCTCATTTGGTATAGAAACATTAAAAAAAAAAGTACACTTTGACAATATTATAACTCCAATAAAGATAGTATGATTTAAATACTTAAGTCAAAAAGAGTAACAACAACAAAAAGTTTTACTTTGCTAAGTATATTTCCAGAACATCATTTCAAAATCATCAACATTTGTTTTTGACACTTTTCAGACAAGAATGTAGCTGAACTCAACTCATTCCCACAGCATATATTCACTTTCTTTTCCAGTGGAATGCCTTTCAGTCAGGAATGGCTAAGTCACTTCTCTTAATGCCTGATGCACCCAACAACAGGGTGCAATCAACTTCAGTTTTACTGTAAATTTGAAGATCCCACAGCAAGAATATTACACAAAGTGCAGCCTGACTCATTGGCTGAGAACTGTGCTGTTCCCACATGCTGGTGCCATACAGCTTTCAGGAGCAGACCCTATGTGGAACAGACCCAATGATCAACAATCCCCTGGGAGCTGGGGACAGGCTGAGGGAGCTGGGCTTGTTCAGCCTGGAGAAAAGAAGGCTGCAGGGTGACCTCATTGCAGCCTTTCAATGCCTAAAGGGAGCCTACAGAGGGGAGGGGAATCAACTCTTTGAAAGGGTTGATATGTGTAGGACGAGGGGAAATGGTTTTAAGTTGAGGGAGGGGAGATTTAGGTTGGACATTAGGGAGAAATTCTTTACCCAGAGAGTGGTGAGGTGCTGGAACAGGCTGCCCAGAGAGGTTTGGATGCCCCATCCCTGGAGGTGTTCAAGGCCAAGTTGGATGGGGCCCTGGGCAGCGTGGTTTAGCATTAAACGTGGAGGTTGGTGGCCCTGCATGTGGCAGGGAGGTTGGAGATTCATGATCCTTGAGGTCCCTTCCAACCCTGGCCATTCTGTGATTCTGTGAGCTCACATGGAACCTTTTTATGTCTTCAGAAGAAAGTAGCTCAGCTAGCTTGCTAAAAATTCTGTCCTAGTGCCAATGACACTGGGACAGTGATCTGCCCACGTCCTGCAGCTATGGGGTTGAAGCAGACACAGGGTAATGGGGAAGAGAGTCTGAGACTGCCAGGTGGGTCCTCGGAGACTGGGTATGTTGGAGCATGTTTCAAGTAACAGTATGGCTAGTACAAAGAAGGGCTTCTCAGAACATACACACAGCTGTGAGAGGTGGCAAAGTGTGGGAAAAGATACACCCTGCAAGTCAAGCAAGTGCTGGAATATGTTAGTGCTGCTGGGATTGAGCAACCCAGCTTGTTAGTATGCACAACCCAATATTGTCTGAATGGCTGGCAGTCTCTCCTACTATGAGTAAGAAAGGTAAGCAGATCCCAGGAAGGCACAGGAAGGAAAATAATCTCAAAAACAAAGAGCGGAGCTATGCAAATATACAATATCCTCACCCTTTTGGACACTGAGGTTCAGTAATGTCCTCACACTCTTCTTCAACCCAGCTTGCCTCTCCTTAAAACAAATGAGTGCAATTTATTTTTCAAGACAGTAAATTACTTTATTGATCAATACAAGTTTTTTGCTTTATAAGATGTTTTTAAAAATACTGTGACCTTATTCCATTCAAACAAACAGAGGTACACAAGAGACACTACTGGAATTCACTGAGGGCATTTACCTTTGCATGCAGCTTGATAATTGACACAGCAATCATTATTTTCCACACAATCATCTGAGCAGGAGCAGTGATACTCTGGTCGCCTCTTCTCTCCACACCTGAACTTATTACATGTCCATATATGAGCTACAAACAGATGACAGACAGTACAACAGTTAACACCCATGCCAGTGTCACATTAAAGTATTGAATGGTAAGTTCTCAAATGTGTACTCACAAAAAGAAAGTCCTGAGGTATTTGATGCATGAATAATAGCACAACCTTTGGCATTTTGGAAGACATTAACATCCATGGCTAAACAATTTGAATGCACAGACATCTGAAGATAATTATGCAGCATATGCTTATAAATACCGCAGATCATGAAAGGTCAACAGAAAGTATCTACAGGTCTTCTTAAGTATGGTAATTTCTTTGGACTTAATCCAATAAACACATACTATAAACAAGCTCCCCAACAAGTGCATCAAGAAAATCCCTAACTTAGTTGTTAGACAGGCTCTCCTCTTTGCTTTAAAGAATTCTTTAAACTGGTGTTATTAAACAGAGAGGAGGGTAAGTCCCACACAAGTTTTCTAACATGCAAAAAGCTTTATGCAGAGGACCTCTGAACAATAATCAGTTGAAGCAAACAGCTGAATTCAGTTTAATCATTCGGTTCTAAAAAGTCAGCATTGGAATTTTAAATTTCAGGGTGAGACTATGTTAACAAGTTCTACAAAGACTTGTAAAGTTGGGCAAGATGAGAAATAAGTGGTAAGAATATCATATATAATGTATTAAGGTAAAACTGCAAGTTCTATCTTTAGTGTTACTATCCAAAATATCATCTTACTCCATACAATTTCTCCATGGAACTTGTCACACCTTTGCCTATTTGGCTTGCAGCTTTTGATAAATCATGACAACTTCCTGCTTTGAGATCATTTTCCAACACTGCAGCCTATTTTGTTGTCCCGCATTGTCCCAGAGGCCAGCATGATAACCTTGCTTCACACTGAAGCAGGGGAATAACAGGGCAGAGTGCTTGAGCAGCAAGGTATTGGATAGGAAAAGACCATTCACAGAGCAGCTCTGTCCTCCCCCTTTCTCATGTGGGTCGTAACTGACACAAAGACCCAATATACAGAATCCACGGGACAATGCATGCCACTGTTCTCTCACTCCCAAGCACAGAAAAGAAAAGGCTGGCTGAGACCTTCAGCCACAGTTCTTGCTGTGCTTTTCAAGGCAGATTGCAGCAACACACTCTCACATTCTCTCTCCCATTAACCACATTCACGCTTTACTGGTGTACAGAACACATAGACCTGAAGCTCCTTCCCCAGGAGCCCTTAGTAAAACCATTGCCAATAGAGTGAGTAGGAGGATGTGGGACTGCTGCAGCAGAGCCACCGCGCTCAGTCTTCCCTCTCTTGCCCCCTGAAAAGCATTTAAAGTTGAAGTAATGACCACCTGACCACAACAGAGCTCACATGTGCTGGCCCATATGAGAGCTTGCCTCCATAATTTTTTCCGTCCTTACCTGGTTGTATGCATGTTTCCTGGTAGTCTAAGCAGCAGTTTCCAAGCTTAACACAATCTCTGTCACAACGACAGCTTCCAAAGGTCCTTTCAAAGCAACGACCTTTGCAGGTTTTTACTGTAATACAGAATAGTGTTATTAATCAATATGCAAAAAAAAAAAAAAAATCAGCCTAAAGAGTGACGCAGTTGATCATTCCACTACTCACAGTGTAGCTGCAAAAAAAAAAAAAAAAAAGAAAAAAGCAGCAGCTGAAGAAAAGTCTTAAACCAACTAAATGTTTATTTTCTCTTACTGAATGAAGGTGTCATGTTTTAACAGGAATGTGGTGTTTCATTTCTGGCAGACATCATTGAAAGAAACGATTACAATTCCAGTTGTGACTGCCACCACTGCCTCTCTGCATCTCCAGGAGATACTTGTACAGTTATTTAGCACATGAAATATCTCCATAAGAGGAAACCCACTGAGGAAACATGAACCCATGTTTCAGCTAGAGAGCCTTGAAAGTGTAGGTAACACTGATCTTCATTACTGGGGCTGACAATCATCTACTTTAGGTAAGTAAATAAGCATCAGTTAAAATCTAGATCACATGAGGCAGGTTTGCAATTCTTCCATAGTCTGAATGGCTATTTTCACACAAAACAAAGGCACTCCAGAACAGAAATTGAAGAAGCCCAGCTCTACATCCCACTGTATCACAGTCAAGGTACCACTTGGAGACACAGGAAGAAAAAAATAAGAACATACTACTGATTTGCAGCATTAGCAGCACCTTATTTGGCCAGCGTTTTACTGTAAGCAGTAAATGAAGTGAATCCACAATTCTGTTTTTGACTTCTCAAAAAGCTTGAAGTGTGTGGTATAAGGTAATAAAAAAAAAGGTAATAATTATGGTAAAGCTCTAATAAAATGGGGAAAGTTAAACAGATTCTTAATAAGGCGCTAATATTATGCATCTTGGTTAAAAATCATTGCAGCACTGTTTGTTAAACATACTTCCAATTATTTTAGATTTGTAGCATGAATAAAATTGTTCTGAAGGAAAAGCTTAATTTCTTAAAATATTTAACCTTCTGTCTGAAGAAACTTCACCATCAAAAAGATGGTTTATTTTCAGGGAAGAAAACAGTCAAAAAATTTCACACAAAAAACATTTTCAGACTACAGTTCCAACCAATAAAAAAAACCAACCTTTTTATTTTCATAGTTGACAGGAAATGATGAAAAATAAATGTTCCCGGACAACGTGGAATATAAATTGTTGGTTTTTGAGTTTTGTTTTTGTTTGTGTGTTTTTTTGTGTTTTTTTTGTTGTTGTTTTTTTTTTTTAATAGGGAACTGAGAAAAGTCAGCCACATGACATCACCACAGACGCAGCTGGGATACATGGAAGCTGCCAGCTTAGATACTGAGCACAGGGATGAGTTTACTTTCCAAAGAAGTATACAGGTACTAAAGACACCTGATGTTTATTTCCCAGTATTTTCATACCACTCTAAATGAAACTATTTCAACCAATGCATCCAATGTTCTCCATGTAGCAAAAAAGGGTGGCATTCTGATAATACTAAAATTAACTCACAGAAGAAGAAAAAAAGAAATTGCTAGAAAAGTTACTAATAAACAGCATAATAGTTACCATCTTTTGAACAGCTAGGCTTCAGGCCAAATATACATCCTAGGATTGTTGTTAGCACGCAGACACAGAGTATCTGTGGGACAGAAAGGAAAAGAGAGCAATTGTGAGTGACCACAGAATGGTTTAGAAAGCCTTCGTTTTCTCTAGTAACACTACACAACTGTACTGAACGTGATCAACATGCAGATTAGGAGGCCGATTTCACCACTTGCACAAGCAGTTTTCACTCACAGCAGCAGTCACACTGATTTCAACTGATTACCTGTGCATGAAAGAAAATTCTCTAGACTAGGTACTCTAAACTTTCTTATTAAGTTAGGTCAAGTAAATACTGTGATTTATTTCCCTCTCACAAATGAAAAAAAGTTGCTTATGTTTAGACATGTATTCATTTTCTACAAAACTTTGTTTGTTCCACTTCTTCCTTCCTCCTGGACTGTTCTAAGAAAATGAAGTTATGCCTTTGACCACAGACTGCAAACAGAAGCCCTGGCCTTTAAGTGATACCTATAATTTTCCTAGGCAGGAAAACCTTTTCCCACTTCCTAGTATGTAGTTCAGTGTTGGTCTATACAATGGTAAGCAGCTGTGGGATGTCACCTTAGACCAACCACAGTGTCTTACACCGACCAGAAACTGTCGCCATGTTTACTTTGGATTCTCAATGCTTTAAGGCTGTTAAACAGGCACCATATTGCTCATACCCAGCACTTCAAGCAAGATCTAATGCTTACTTAAATGAAGGGATAGATTCCTTCTAACCTCACTATCCTCACTGGATTTATGAGAAGCAGCTGAAGGAGCTGGGATTGTTCAGTCTGGAGAAGAGGAGGCTCTGGGGAGACTTTATTGCTCTCTATAACTTCCTGAAGGGAGGTTGTAGTGAGCTGGGGATCAGCCTCTTCTGTCATGTAACTGATGACAGGACTGGAGGGAATGGCTTCAAGTTGTGCCAGGGGAGATTTAGGCTGGACATTAGGAAATACTACTTCTCTGAAAGAGTGGTCAGGCCCTGGAACGGGCTGCCCAGTGAGGTGGTGGAGTCACCGACCCTGGAGCTGTTCAAGGAAGGTGTTTGGTTCTTGTGTTGTAATATGGTTTAATTAATGAGTACTATTGGTGATAGGTGGATGGTTGGACTGCATGATCTTGTAGGTCTTTTCCAAACTTGGTGATTCTGTGATACTGTGGTTCGTTTTTGAGGAACAGTGCACATATTATCACTACATCCATAGTAATTAGAAAGCCAGCAATGCACTCATGACTGCCATTCTATTCAAATGTAAATTGTAATACTGATGTTAGCTAAAAGTCCTGAAAGAAAAAGCACTTTCAGAAAAATAATGCTTTCGTATTCAGAAGTGTTGAGGAAGATAATAGAGAATGTACATCTGGTCATTCTTTTCTGAGAAAAATGACTTTGAATCAAAAGTTAAATATTTTCAAACGCACTTCAGTAAAAGTTAAGTACTGCCCACATTAAGCATTTCTCTTTTTACCGCCTTCCCCATCAGCAACAGCTGCTGAATCAGTTTTTTTAGTATAATACCTATAAATTATTCTGGACCTTGGAAACTTTCCATCTGAAATATCACCTAGACAAGTACACATACAGTGAGGTAGATGGTGTGTCAGATGCTAGACTTCAAGGCTCAGGAAAATCACTGGGGAGAGCAAAACTTATTACTGTTCTTTTTATTTATACATTACTATTGGAAAATAGAAACTCTTGAATTCGGTTATAAAAAGTGAACCTGAGTCTACTTTATTTCAGGGTGATGATGGATTTATTGCTTTATGCCATGCTACTAAGCTCAAAGAGTAGAATGTCTGCTGATATGTAACCAGAAGCAGGCATCAAACAAATAAAAACCACTCTACTCTGAGTGTAATCCTATTCCTGAGATTCTGGCACTGAGTGTTACAAAGCCCTGTTTTTGCACTGTGCTCCAAGATTCCAGTTTTCACTTCTGTGAATATAACTAATTTCAACAAGCAAAAGCACGGAAAGGATAATGTTTACTGGGACATACCAGTATCTTTTGGGTAGGAAAATGATAATGTTTCTGATAAAGTAGTGCAAGCCGTGTTTCCAGCAAGCGATACTACAGAAATCACTGAGCTTCACAGAACACAGCACACTACCAATGCTTTGCCTAGTACAAATCTATTCTGCTCTCAAGTTTCTTGAAAAAAACAACAATCTCCAGGTCCTTACGTGGCATACTCTGTCCACCTGTAACTAAAGAAAAGCTGGGAACTATACTGTACCATAACAATGGATATTCAAGCCTTTCTTTTCTTAACACTAGCCCTGAAAGAGCTTAGAATTTTGCAGTAAAATATATTTAAGACTATTTTTTGTTCCTTCAAAGCTTAATAAAGAAACTTCTTAGGAATGGTAGCTTAGAGCATTTGATGATGTCCTGGGACAATCAAAGCTGACCAAGTACCCTATACTACATAATTATTTTGAATAAGATCTTTACCTTCAGTCTTTAGTCATTTCAATATTACCCACACAAACGGCACAAGCATTCTGATGGAACACTGTGGAACAACTAAACCTGGCCAACAGCAGTAGCAGTCTTGCCTAAGCCCAGCAAGAGTTATTACAGTAACTCTTAACATGTTGTCTGTCAGTGAAAATGCTCTGAGATCATCAGCTCTGCAAACGACCAGAAATGACTGACTTTGAAGAAGACTGCCCAGGTACAAAAGGTTATCTCACTAATGCAGCCCTAAGGTGGACTAATTTACTTCACTTCTTGCTATCTGGGACTTCACTGCAGCAGGTAGCTTACTAATATTACCTGAACTATTTTGCATACACCTAGATCAGGTTTGGGATGCTACATTCTGCTGTGTAAAGATTATGTTTATTGCTGTTAAATACAGACAAGTAGCTGCACACATATAGTTCAAGGTTTACTAACAAGAACCTTGTTACAACCTTGCAGAAAGAATATGGGAATACAACACATAATAGGAAGGCAAAGAACCAGACCTCATTACAGAAAAAAGCAGCATGAACTTTTTATGATTTTTACTTTGAGAGATTGCTAGAACAAAATGTAAGGTTCTCAACCAACACAGTAACAACTGAAGAGAAGAAAATGTCCTGTTTTGTTTTGAAAATATTTTCTGAGAAAGTTTGTTTTGGAATCAAAAACATTGCCATCCAGGGATGAATCTCTGTCTATCACTGCTTCCTTTACGTGGGAGGAAGAAATAAAAGCTTCGCTTTGTAAACATTATAGTGGTTGGGAATAGGTGGTTGAGTATTTGGAAAACTGCAATCCTGAGAACATTTCAAAAGCCTTTTATTTTGAGCTGGAAAGATGGCAAGATGATAACATGGTTAGAGGGCAGGCTTATTTTCACCACTCATCTCTGTAGGGATAAAGTCAAAGAGAAATCCACTAGTGGTTTCAGTGAGCTGGTGGAAAGGCTTAAGAGCAGTGTGTAGATACCAAATGCCAAAGTGACTGATCAGCTAACTCCAGGGCAGGTCCCAGTGATACACAGTGATACACAGGGAAACCTTTCACCGTTCCTTTGCAAAGGAAAATTAAAATATTATTCTGCCACAGTCCATTTCTCTTCACTTTTTACTATGCCTGTCCATCTCCCCTACTCTACCCTGTATTCATCCATTCTGTATTTCCTATGGCAAAAAATACATTGTCTTTTCCTTTAAGGCATAATCATTCTGGATTAAGTTTCTTCCTGTGCTGACTCTCCTCATTCTTTGTCTACCGTGTACTCAGCTGCTTTCTATCTTTCTTTTTTCATCCCTAGTGTTCTATGTCACTCCACAGTTTAAGGCACATTAGTTAACTAACTGCTGTGCAATTAACAAAGAAACCATGCAAAACAGTGGATTTTCATTCTAACATCCATGATTGACTCTTGCAGTTGCTGTGTCACGTCTGCCCATGAAGTGAGAATGTCTAGACTGGGTTGGTAATGCCAGTATTACAAAAACATGTGGAATTTTCCAAAACCACTGGGATCTGTGAAGGGCTATGTTTTCACCATTTTGTGCGCCTAAAATAATTACACATAGACACAGACTTTAACAGTGAAAGACTCTAGAGGAAGAATTTCATCTGCAAAGAAGATAGTAATAAATAATTAATTTCAAGTAAGAGCATAATCACCTTCTGCCTTTATAAAGGGCGTATTAAAAGTACAGAAAACATACTGCACAGATTTAAAAAGAAAACAAAAACAACTTATCCACACGTGCCAAAGGCAGCAGAACATTTGCTCATGTTTATAAAAGCTATTTTTAAGTAGGGATAACCCTCACCAACTCAGCTCTATACACAAACAGGAGGATATTTAATAAATTTTACCGAGCTGAAGTGAAACGGATACTTCATTCATACCAGCACAGCTATTAGGCTAAGTAAATCAGCAAAAAGAAGTTAGCAGTACTGAAACAAATGTGTTACACACGTCATATTTCCTTCATTCACCTCTAATTTTCCAAATTAAATTTTTTTTATGATTTTCAAAGACTTGACTGTGTTGATCCACATTCCTTGTCTGGAGTCCACAAGGGGAAAGGGAGTTGCTAAGACTCTGAGATCTTGGTTGTCTTGAAACACTGAAGGTGACTGAATTAGCCTGAAGTCTACAGAGGCAAAAGATAGAGATCATTGGTTTTCTTCTCAAAGAAGGATGCAGAAGACCTACTCATGTTGTTTCTATGAAATGCTTTCAGACATTGTATGCTATTGCAGCCATAGCCTAAGGTCATTCAAGGGACAAGAATGTTTTAAAGGTAGCTTGAGCCAATGCAAGGTGCTACAAAAAGCCTTCAAGAAGCTAACCAAAGAGCTACAACTCTAAATACCTCACAAAACTCTTAAAGTGTCTAGCTTTAACAAGAGAAAAAAAGATAAAATAGAATCAGTAACTGCCAACACATTAATAAAAGCAAAAGTAGAGAAGAAAATATGGTGTTCTGCCGGTCACACTCTTCCAAAAATCTCTTTTCAAGAATAAATCTAAAGTTGTTATTATTTATAGTACTTTCATAAGATTAGTAACAAGAAGAGCGTT